GTCTAATGCATGGCGTGTCTCTAAAAAATTGTGTGTCAGTGGAATCGACCCTGAAAGTCTTTGCCGATGTAATTCACGTTTCACAGCATCTACCTCCTACTCGCTTCTTATTTATTTAGAAAGTGGGAGCAGATCTATACACGGCGACTACTTGAAAGCACGAAGAGTATTGTCGACGAGGATGTCATTGCTGAAAAGCGGAAAGTGGATCAACTCGAAGATTCTAGCGACAATCCGCTAATTGTCAAGGATTTGGCAAAGGTGAGGCAAGTTACGGGAGTTCTTTCAAAGCTCTTTCGGCTTGTATGGAAGGCAGTAGCAAGAGCTGGAACGACTGGGGTGAATATGGTTAGTTCTGAAGTGCGACGAAAAAGCCCCGCACACAGAGTTGGGAGGCAGTCATTTGACTCGATCCTATTGCCTTTTTCAGGATGAGACCCTGAAACTGAACTTCGGGATATTGCCCATTAAGCTGGACTCTGCAGATTTTATTTTGATAGCACCACTGCTTTCGATCCAGTGCCATTATTGACAGCTTTTATCCCGTAAGACGCTCAGGCGGAAAATGGGTACATCGCTAGGTAGTATGTGCTGTGCTCGTAGTGTTATTTTTCGTGAGCTATACACGCGAGGGGTAACCAGGGGAGAGATGATTTCTAGCGTTTTGAACAAGAGGATTGGCACTAATGAACTATTCCTAGCCCAAAAACTCAGAAAAACAAATTTCGCTGAAAAACTCTGGCATCATTGATGGTTATTCGTCCCTTATCACCAATATGACATTTATTTCTGGTGCTGGCGTCATTTGGCGCCAATAGGCGTCAACATGACGCCACCACCTTTCTCACCGAATTTAATGAAAACATGCATGCGGGATTTATTTGACATCCTGCATTCACGAATATGGTATTTTTTTGATGCTGACGCCACCACTAGGAGCCAGTATGGCGCCACATTCTTTCCCTCGAAATCGATAAAAACTTGTCTGATAGGGCTATTTGATGCCCTGACCATGGATCTGGCATTTAATTCTTGACACCAGCTCGATTAGCGTTCTCTACAAGGGAACCCCAACAGGTCGATCCGGCCATTTGCAGTGAGATGTATAAATATGGACGTGTCTTGAGCCGCCGAATCCAAATCTGCCCTCCGATTTTGCGGAACGATTCTCCAAAGGGAGTTACGGACCATTTAATCTTAGCTCCGTTTGCTCAAGTTGAGAAGGATAACTGCATGCGGCAAGCCGGCGATGGCCTAGTGGATAAGTGCATTGCTTCAGAGACACGAGGTCGAATGTTGGAATCCTTGGCTATCGAAATCTTTTGCTTTTCATTCAAAACACTTGGTATGAGCCCTCCGAAATTTCTATTTGGCCATTTCGCCTAATTTCTTGATTAGTTGCCAACGAAAGGCGGGCGATTCCCCATGTAGGGTTCCTCTTGAAAACTTTTTATTATGAGGATAACCACATGTCACAAGGGTTTTTGCAATGAAATACCATCATATTCATGTTCAGCGGGTCAAACTACCCCTGGGGACAAATTTCTAGCCGAATCTGATATTTCCACCTAACTTGGAAAATGTGTGCTGTTTCATGGGTAATCGAAAGCATAGGGGAGCTCACCTACCGTTGGTGAATGGTCTCGAGATGGAACTACCTCGTGGTAAAGAGGACGATGATGCAAACGGCAAGAATAAGTAAGCCGGGTAATGTCTTTGCGAAAAGGCACATGAAGAGGTATTTCAGTTGGAAAACCAGTCATCATCAGTATGGTAGTCGTAGTATCGCTTTGGCTATCAGTCAGCCACAGCTATTCATAACCCATTTTCTCGAAAATGAGTTAGAACCTCGGATTCCGCTGGGGTGACGTCTCTAGGGGTTATTCGACCCCTGAACACGAATATGATACCTGTTTTGCGCGAAGAGCGCTGTGAGTTGCGCTACAGGTGCTAACGCTTTGGCGCGCCCGGAAGAAGAAAAGCAATAAAGAAAAACCTCACAACTCCGCTCAGAGAATCGTTCCGCAAATTTTAAAGATAGTCTTGTGTTCATCGTGGCAAGGTGAGTACAATGATGTACATTTCGTTGCAAATGGCCGGGCTGACGTTGGCCTTTCCTGGTCAGCTTGTGCAAACACAGCAAAGATTAAATGGTCCGTAACTCCCTTCAGAGAATCGTTCCGCAAAATCGGAGGGCAGATTCGGATTCAGCGGCTCAAGACACGTCCATATATACATCTCATTGCAAATGGCCGGATCGACCTGTTGGGGTTCCCTTGTAAGCAAAATGAAGAAGGAGTGATCCACCAGCTCAGCCATAGAGCGCAGATGACCATAGTGACCTACATTACGTCGGCGCCAAGTATAAATGTCATACCCGTAATCAGGACGTCAAATAACCACTGTGTACAAGTTTTCGTCGATTCTTGGTGAAATTGGGTGTTTGACGCGGCGCCCGTGGCGCGGGCGCCAGGCAATTTTGGGCTAAGTGTACGTGGTATTTGTGTTCAGGAGGGCGAATTACCCTGTAAACAAACCTTCAGCCAAATTTGTCCTCGTAGAAAAAGGATCGGTAAAAAACAGGCCTAGTTTCGGAGGACTGGGATAGGAAGAGTTCAATACTGCCGAGGGATTCTGTGTACATGCCTTTGTGGGACAGTGAAACCAGTTCCACGGAGTATACTATTAGCTCACAAGCAAAAGCTCTCCATAGCATAAAGAAGATTCTCAAGTCTTTTCTCAATGACTGCCCACTCTTGTATTTTGGAAGTGCTCAACAAGGTCTCCCTCGCTTTGCCATGACTAGCAGTCTTCTCGCTCGTCATCGTGCTCCTCCTCCATCACGTCTTTGTATTATCGCTGTAGAGCAGTGGTATCTCAACCATCTATGTACCCACCCATGCCATTTCCTGCGTTCAGGGTTTCTTCGTTATGTGCTCCTGTAATGTTCATACCCAGAACTGGAAGTACTAGAGTATATACAGAGTTTACTGTGTTTCCTGTTTTTCTCTGTTAATTTTTTAGTAACTTAGCAGCTTGGCACTCGTTCTGGAACCCCACTACCCGCGAATCTCCCTAGCGTGCTCGGTTTTCAAGCTTCATCGCTCTGTATTCAATATTTCCACGCATTGTACTCGTTCTTAATCTGTTTTTTTTCAGGCGTACACTAAGAAGGCGCTTGCAGTACAGAACGTGTCTTTTGCCGTTGATCATGGCGAATGCTTTGGTTTGCTGGGCTTGAATGGTGCCGGGAAGACAACGACCTTTGCTATTTTGACACAAAAGATCCGACCAGGTTTTGGATCGGTACAGAATTCACGGAAGGCGGAGAGGCTTCCATTCAAAACGTACACAGCCATTAGGTAGCTTCGGAGCCGATTTTGTACTTGGTTACCAGTAACTAGGATATCTGCATGATCAACACTTTCTGGTAAGACGGTGAAGAGAAGTAGCACACTCGATGACGGTGTTGGTTTTCTACTTTCGTCCATACTTTTAGCATGACAAATTAGGCACGAGTGAC